TACAATAGAGAGCGCTCAAAGGAATAAACCACCCAAGGGCGCCCCCCCCCCCCCGCCCCTTTTACACTTCATTTTCTCTCTCAATCCCCTGATAGCTTTTTTGGAGGCTTTCAAATACTTAACTTATGTTTACACAAATCGTTTGTGTCCCTCATTAATTAAGTCTGAAAAGAAAAACAGCCAGTCCACGCAATGTCGGCACCAGCCATCGCGCAAGGCGAGTTGGTCAGTTAGATCGTAGGGGCAGGTTGCTGTTACAACAGGGTTCAAAGCGAAGAGCCATCTAAAATAAAAACAAAGGGCTCAAAAAATCGGGACATACCAGAAATCTACCAACCAAACAATGACAAGCAAATAGCCTATACAAATGTACGAACAAATCCAGACAAACACTGTTTTGTCTTGGAGTAAGACCCGTTAGGATTTTGCCTGCGCACGCCACCGGGAAGGGGGTCGGGGGGGTGGGTGGGGGTATTCTGTGTGACCCTATGTCAATATGAACACCGCCAAATGAGAAAGTGATCAAAGCCTTAACCCACCCCCTTTTCCCCCCCTCCCCCGCCAACCGTCACCCCCCTGGCACCTTATCGAAGACTGACTGGCCCTGCACCAAGCACACCGCCAACGTCTTCGCTACCCCCCCCCCCCTCTCTCTCTTAAAGGAAGCCTCTGTATTACTCAGTGCCAGTTTTTAATATGAAACCTTTTGATTCACATTGTTTATCTTTATGTAAAATGAACAACAGCTGAGCGAGGTGAGGCCACGGGGACTATTAACGAGGCAGAAACCCTGGGCAAACCTTCCCCGCCCTGCTGAAATCACAGAACGTAACATAAGCTGATGTTAGCCTGAGTCAGTCGCTTTTAATAAAGTTTCAATCAATGGACGGGGGGAACAGCTGTAAGATCGGGATTAGAAAGAAATTAGGATTTAACAATAGGGGGCTCTACCTCAGTGGGACTTGTAGCATTTTTATCTGGGATGTTTAGCCGGGGCCGAAATACGGCATGTTCTTTTCTTGTGACAGTGGGCAGGCAGTAGGGGGGTAAGCAGAGGGCAAGCAGCGGGTAGGCAGCGAGTTGGCAGTTTGCATTGACTTGGAGTGAGTTGGCACGGGTAGGTAGTGAGTTGATATAGTTTGCATGGCAGGCGGTAAGTCGGTAGCAGTAGTGAGTTGACAGTTTGCAAGGCCAGCAGTTGGTAGATAATGGGTAGACAGTGAGTTGACAGCTTACATGGCAGGCATCTACTAGGTAGTGAGTTGACAGCTTGCATGGCAGGCAGTTGGTAGATAATGGGTAGGTAGTGATTTGACAGCTTGCATGGCAGGCAGTTGGTAGATAGGGGGTAGGTAGTGAATTGACAGCTTGCTTGGCAGGAAGTTGGTAGAAAGAAGTGGGTAGGTAGTGAGCTGACAGTTGGTAGATATTGGGTAGGTAGTGAGTAGACAGTTTGCTTGCAGGCAGCAGGCAGATAAGGGGTAGGCTGGGTCTGAGTTGGCTGTTTGCGACGAAGGCGGTAGACAGTGGGTAGACATGGGTAAGAATTGGAATTGGACGTATAATCGGTAGGAAGTTTGTAGGAATAGGTTTCTAAAACTAGCTTTAGTTAAGTAAAGCGATAATACACGCCCAAAACTGTCACACATTAGCTAATCAGCCTTCCCCATAATGAAAGAAGTTTTAAATTACCGTATTTATCGGCGTATAACACGCACCATTCGCGCAGCTATGCGCTACGTACTATGGGTATATAACAGTATATTGGCGTATAACACGCACACATCATTTGCCACCTATTTTCGGGGAGAAAAAAGTTGAGACTCATTTAATGTCCGACTCAGATTCTATTAAATTACTCTATTAATGTGGCTTCTTACTTTAAAAAAATATTAAAAAATCATTGAATGGGTCAACATAATTAAGTTATAGACTGATTTGTGAACAAGCAATGACCACATTTCTTAAACAATTCAAAGATTCACTAAAGACTAGCCCTAGCATTATTTATTGCAGTGGTTGTATGAGTATACTATATATCCGTGATTAAATCAGGCCAGCACAACTCATAATGTAAGAGTAAGATGGCCGTAATACTTGATGAAAAACGAGTGCAGGCCGACAGTGGCGTAGCTAGGGTTGGTGTCACCCCCCCCCCCCCCCCCCCNTAAAAATATATGTGTGATCGGTTATTCTTTTATGAATCTCGATTTTTGCGAGCAATGTGTGCCCTGTAAATATGCAATTTTTCAATCGGGTGTCACCCCTAAAATGGTGTCACCCGGTGCGGTCCGCACCCCCCGCACCTGCCTCGCTACGCCACTGCAGGCCGAAAGAAAATAGGACGGGGGCTATTAAGAAAAGAATAACGAATATTTCGTTACTTCGCGGGCCGCAAAGTGGGTGCTGGCGGACCGCATGTTGTGCAGGCCTTCTATAAATAAAATACGCACAAGTATAAGACAGAACAAAATGTTTTCGAGTGCAATTTAATGAGACACTTTCTTTACTTTTATGATACCGATTTGTCAAACGTGTTCTAGATATTAATATTACTTTCATAAAACTAAGCGTATTTCTAGTTTTATGAAAGTAATATTAATATCTAGAACACGTTTGACAAATCGGTATAATAAAAGTAAAGAAAGTGTCTCATTAAATTGCACTCGAAAACATTTTGTTCTGTCTTATAATTCAGCTCCAAGATTCGCGTATGTATGTTGGAAAGATGTCTGCTTTCCAGACGCTTAACTGAAGAAACCGTTGACTTGGATAACCACGTGGATCCAAACATTGATAACTATGCTCAAATATCTTATTTCAAAGATGATCAACGGAAGATGAAGCCATATTCCAAAAACATGCAGATTTTTGTTAAAAAGAGAATGTACATAACTACCCAGCCCACTTCAAAATCGCGCAGATAAATATACAATGAAATTATGTGTATTCTTCAATATTAAACTAGCAGCGTCCATCACAGCTGAAATACAATATTGAACTTGGAAATCCGGGGACACGTCTGCCCCTAGGCTTATCGCTGTACTGTATATCACTTTTGCTGCTCTACAATCCGGCAACCTTTCAATATGTCCTGCCCAGCGCAGTCTGCCTTTTTTTTTTATTGTTGCGACTATGGGTGGGTCTTTGTACAATTGGACTTTATATTTACTAATCATATATTCTTTTATTAAATTACATTTTATTAAACATCTGAAGCGAATTTGGTGAAATATATTCCTAAGATGAGACATTAGAGGTTATGCTTTCATCTTCTACATTACTTGCGCATGGATATTATTATTTAATATTATACTGTAGACACAAATAAAATCCTGTACGATAGACACAGAAAAAAACATAAATTAAAGTTTCATGTCACAGATGGATGAACACTAATGGGAGACAAGTAATGCCATATTACTTGTCTCCCTTTAGTGTTCATATATTCATATCTGTGACGTTTTGGAATATAAAATCAAAACAAAATCAGCTCAGTGATCACAATTCTCTTTCACAGTTAGAAAAGCTGACTTCACTTTATTTTAAGCAATTGCCTGCCAAGTTTTTTTACTGACGATACGCCAGAAAAGATGACCGAGTTTAATGGGGCTTTTTATAATATTTTGGTCTTTTTATTATATTTAGTATGCCAAAGCAGCGCTGTTGAACGCCACCTAGATCCACTTTTCAACGTTCAAATCAAATCTGACATTGATCAAAGAGGATGGACTCATCATGTGAGAAAAAAATCAGCCTGCTACAGATGAGCAATGTCTTATACTTATTGCCCCACAACATGGCTAAAAAATAAGGCTATTCTGTATTTGCATTAGTGATAGCGCAATTAGTGTGGGAACTTAACAAGACCAGGATCACAGTACTAGATCCAGTCACAAGAACATGGAAAGACATTTTTATTAAATGTAACCAATAGAAAGCCACGAAACAAACAAACAAAAATTACAGGATATTCATTTAAATATCTTGTGTCACCTTTATGCCTAAAATAACCCATTACTTGGTAGATGAAACTGATTTTGCCAATGTTCATCTGGTGAGGTTATATTGTAATGTTAAATTATATGATTCTTTATTAGTGAAGAAACATGATCATTACAACTCACAGACATGGAAACCTATTTGAACAAACTCTCATCATTATTTATCTTTACTTCACTTACATATTAATGCAACAAAATATATACATGGTACTGGTATGAATTTCAATAGATAGTCCCCACATGCCTTCTCAGCATGGAGCCCACAGCTGCACTGAAGGAAAAACCTACAAATCTACAGCTACAACTAAAATTACAACTAAAAATAAGAAGTGATTCCGATGAGTATTTTAACATGATGGACAAAGTAATGTTTAAAAATGAACCAAGTGTGATTTTAAAAATATACAGCATCATCTTAGGTTGAAATAAATAAATATGGTTATTACATGACATACTACATATCCTACTCATGTGTATGTACTTTTTTGTTTTATAAATTCCCTGTTAAAAACAAGTAATTGAAAAAAAATTGAAAATAAATTTTTCAACCAAATGAATTATCATGCATTTGCAAGGTTGGCGTTTTAAATTAACCTTGATAAAACTTTATGAAAAAATTTTTTAATCAACCTTCCAGTTACAGGGCTGAAAGGGAGATAACTTTTTTTTTTTTTTCTTTCTTTGATGAGAAACTCTTAGAAATCTCCTGGCAACAGTAAATAGTTCCGTTGCCCCGAAAAAACAAAAAAAAAAAAAAAAAAAAAAACAATAAAGATTTTGAAGCAATTATTATTTTAATATTAATACTTTTCTTAAAGTTTGAATAAAATCACGTTGCTCCCCTTTGCTTCTACTTCTACACATCTCTGTGAAAGTGAATTCACAAGGCTTCTATATTTGATAGCCAATGAGAACCAGATGTTGAGAATGACATGGAGATAAGCATCAAGGAAAAACAGGCTAGCTTCTTCACAAACTTCTAATTCAATATTTAAAAATAATTTCAATCATAGAATATTTACATCTGTGGTAAGTTAAAAATATAATAAAATATGTGATAAGTGAAAATTGTAATGAATTATATTAAAGGCTTTTTCAATGTGTTTACATTTCCCTATTTGTTCTATTAAATAGCCCCATTGTGAATGTATCAGGATTGCAGGAGTCATGTTGCTTCATCAAAGGGGCTATGGGTTTATATGCTTCTTTAAAATGGGTTCGCAACTCAAAAAAGGTTGGTAACCTGTAATTTATACATCAAGCATTTAATTGTACAGACCTGAGGCTTGTTCCCTGTTATTGTACATTTGTAAATTGAACTTAATATTTTATCATGTCTTCTTGGCTTTACTCTTTCCCTTCCCTGAATACGTTGGTTGTGGTGTTGCTTCAGCAGATGTGCCCCCTTTTAAAGTGTCTAACTTTTTCAGACCACTTATTAAGGGCTGCTCAATATTAAAAGTCCGAACGATTTCCTTAAAGGTGAGACAGAAAATAAAATACATAGCTTGTTTCTAGTTTTTTAAAAAAATGTATATAATTATGTTTCCCAACAGATTGAAGAATAAATGGACGATTATAAATACACAAAAATTAACAATGGAGGGAAGAAGATAGCAGAATTTTATTTAAATGTTAAAATTCTTGTACTTCGCAATGGTGATATAAAACTTAACAAGAATTTACATTTTTAAAATGAAATATAGCCACCATATAAATAGACCACCTATTAGCTAAAAACACAAGGCTAACTCCATCACCAGACAGGGTTACCCTGACACTCCCAAAATAGTACATTATTCTTTCAGAGTAGTACCTCTCCATTTCAAAATCGTACCATAGCATATTGTAATAGCAAATAAAAATTTTTAAATTTAGCATAATGTATAAAATAGCTATTGGCATCAGGTGTCTAAAAAAAAAAAGGCATTTTCCAAAGAAGATGACTGATGTTTAAATATTTATATACAGTGCTTTATGCAAATAAAAAAGTGCCTGCAATTGTCACTTTGATAGACGAAGATGGAGTGGGTGAGTAGAAATCATGGACAGCCGCTGAAATTAGCTTTGAGAATTCTTAAAATCCATTCAAAATGCAGAGATGCATTTTTGTATCTTTCTACAATTAATTGGAGAGCAATTTAAGAAATGCATTTGGATATTAGGTTCCCTTTACCTATCTGTGTTAATATAATCCTTTAATTTCAGTAGTTACTAAATTAAATGGTAAAATTGTTTTATAATTTTATTTAAGATAACTTATTTTCATCATTTTTTTTCCTAAAAAATCAGTCCAAAAGTAATGCATATAAATTTCAAATGTGGGTTAAGGCTAAGAATAAAAATAATAGGCAATGGAATAAAGAGATAATTCATTTCTTATACTCTGGGAAACATCAATATTTAACGTGGTGGGCCATAAACATATTATAGTCTAATAAACATCGCAAGCTGTATTGGGAGAAGGCAATAGGTGTGCCTGAACCAAACTGGGGTAGTTTTCTCCATTTTCGCAATCATCAGGTTCAGCCAAATAAAGAAATAATTATGTCACAAAATTATGTCATACAGCACCCACACAAAGAAAGTGAATTTTGACTAAATTTTCACGATGGCAACTATGCTAAATATTACTGTTGCTGTAGTTACAAAGCAATCTTATGATGATCATCACCATCAATATGAAAAAAGGTAATGTTATTTTATAGCATTCAAGAATAGTAAGACATCTACCCCCACCATGCACGCAATACGCTCTTAAATCTACAACATCCCCTTTCCCATCTCAGAGAGTATGAAAAAATAAATACTATTCTGTCCATTCACCGCCTGATGTAGAGAGGAGCTAAAACTAACAATCAAAAATGTATATCTATATTTTTTACTGGAAAAACTAAGTTATTATTTTTTTTTCAACCACGTCTCTTAAATTAAAATCATAGTTCTGAAAGGCATCTGCGTACAATCGTAAAAGATATATCAAACTCGTAAATTGTAATACAAAATTGTGAGAGTAACCAGGTCGGTATCACCTAAGATCTAAAACATCATATTATTTATACCACCTAACAGGATACCTATCAATCTAACAATGTCAGCCTTCCTATACCATCTAATAAATATGCATCCCTACCATTTAACAAAATCTTCCCTCCCAATACCAACAAACACCACATGCCTACCTACCTCCTAAAAACTTGTAAGCAATATTGTACTTACCTCCCATTCTGCTGGAGTTATTGATAAAACAATCTGCCTTCTTTGTTTTGCTTCATGGCCATCTCCTTTACCCTTCTGTATTGGTTCTAGATTTAAATAAAAAAATTGACTAAGAAAACTCACCCACAAAAAATAAAAAAGGAACCTTTATAAAAAAATCTTAGTACTACGAATAAAATTGCCATTGCATTCAACTTTTCTGATGACAACGGCATTAAAGAAACAAAAAGGAAGCCAGGGTAAACCTTGGATAGGATCCAGAGCAAAGCAACTCAAAACCACGCCTCATCAATCCATGTGAGAGTTCAGAAGAACCACATTTGACATCATTCTCAGCTGACCCGCTTAACTTAAGGTTCATTAACAATGTTACAGATAAAGCAAAAATTGATGAATTGATAGGGTGACATTAAAGCAAGCCCCTACCTATCACAGGCAAATCTTCACCATCAAGAAACACTCTGGCATGACCATCCTGAAAGTAGAATTATTAGAAATCATTGAAATAATGGAGCTGCTAATTCCAATGAGTGGATTAAAATGTTGGATATTTTAGATCAATACAGTGATAGATTGACAATATCACACAAAGCAGACCTGGTTACCCTTAAACTCCCAAAAATCATAAAATATCATCTCAAAATCATAAAATACCATATCTTAATAGTAAATAAATAAACATGCAGTATAATGTTTATAATAACTGCTTGATTTGCGCGTTGAGCCAGATAGTTAAGCTGATGTTAAAAAAGGTAACTTCCAAAAGTAAAAGACTGATGTTTATATTGAAACTTGTGGTCACTTTGTTTCGCAGGCGTGTATCTGTATTAGATATCATTTAATATTTGGGTTTACATGTAGATCACATTAATTATCACAGTCTGTCACTGTTAAAAGTTAAGTTTCTCGTGAAATTTAAAGGTGCTTAAAGTTAGTTCAGCATAATATAAAATGTATTGAAATAAGAATTAATTTACAATTCAGGGCCACATTTACAAAAACTACCAAGTCACTTGAGATTGAATTGTTTTAGGAAAAGCTTCTTTTTTTAATTTTATTATTAACATCAATATCTGCATTTCCTCTAACATACTGTTGCTTTTAATGCTCAGTTCACACGATCAAATTTTCATAAAATTTGTTTTTGAAAGAGATAGAAAGAAATTTGACACCAATTTGATTGTGTGAACTGAGCATTAGACTCACCCTGACTAAAAAACTTGTATAAAATATATTTTCAACAGTCTGTCCAAATGAAGTCGGATGCACCACAAACTCGAAGAAACAAATTGGTGCTTCTGTTAAGATATTGGAATTTATATTGTAAAAATTACATCTAAAAGCTAAATCACAACTGTCATATCCAAACATAGCCTATAATGTGAATCAATTTCATTTTCAATAATAGAGACCCCTGTCTCATTTATATTATATATTTAAAGGTGAACATATAATTTTTATAAAGGTCAGTAACAAAAATAAGTTACTGACCGTCGTTTTTTTCATAAACATTCCATAGAGTGCTCAGTAGATGTTCAACTTGAGCAGTGGTTAACTCCCCTCTATCGGTTTCTTCAAATGAGGATAACTGAAAATTTTAACAAAATTTTCTATAAGTGATATTTCAAAACCTGTGGCAAATAATATTTTAAGCTGATAATTCCAATTCATGCATACATATCCTAAATCAGTAAATAAAAGTTTTACTGTACCGGTATAATAAAAGTTATAGCATATGATAAACTTTCTAAATGCCACCTGTATTGGCTTTGAAGCTTTTTGATTGTCATCAGTTTCTTTCAATTTCTCTCTTTGCTGTCTTATTGGTTTGACTACCACCTCACCTCTATCAAATGAGCCATACCTGCATAGATAACATGAAAATAATTTTGTTATTGTCGATATCTTTTTAAAATTATTCATTGGCTAATGAAAAGCATATTATATACAAAAAAATCCTTTGTTTAGTCACTAACAATTTGATCATTTATTCACCATCATAATTTAATAACATAAAATAAAGGATAGGGTGAAAAATATTTCTATTGATGCTAGTTAGCAATCGAATAAAAGTCTTCCACATGGTGAAATATACTATGTTTTCTTTTAAAAAATATTAATATATATTTTTCATCCCAAACCCAGATGTTAATTATATAAAAGGCCGACAGTGATTAGTTGGCAAAATGATTAGCATGGTCTTTAACCAACCGTCTGCCAATTTATCGGTGCAAACCAAAATAAAATGAATATTTATGAACAAAGTTGCAAAGATTTACATCACTAAGGAATTGAGAAAATTTGAAAAAACCATTTAGGTATAATTTTTAACGAAAACTAGGATCGAGAAAAGTTTGTTAAGTTTAGTTTAACGAGTCATCATTCTCAGTAAAAAATAAAATATGTCTAAATTTACATTTGACTTGAATGATGCAGTCAAATTAATGAATTTGTTAAAAAAAATAATTCACTTGTTCACATCTTACATAAATTTTAGGACAGGGGTTCTTCTGAAAAATGGATGGACAGCTTTTCCCAGAGTGACCCAGTTTCCATGGGTTAGCCCTGATTGTACCATGTGTCCTGCTACAACAGTTTTCTGTCGATAGTAAAAAAACTCTTTATGCTCATGATTTAAAGTGATCAAAAGAAATAAGAGCTCCACTGTTGCTCCATGTGCACAGCATAATATAAAAAGTCATTTTTCTAAACTCTAGCTCAGCTAGATTTCTTTTTATTAATAACTAGAAAACAATAATAGGTTACGTAATTTCAGATCAGTTAACCCTCTTGAAACGTAACCTTTTTGGACTGTTTGTGACAAGAAGATGGAGCCCTTTTCACAAGCCCTGCACTTACTTTAAAATAGAATGTGTAAAAAATAATTAATTACTGTATTTATTGGCGTATAACACAAACTTTTTCTCCCCGAAAATAGGGGGCAAATCATGTGTGTGTGTTATACGCCGATATAATGTTTAGTTTTTTTCCTGAAATTTCCTTCTTAAATTGAGGTGCGTGTTTTAATACGGTATTTTGCAAATATAAAACTATACATTCTTGTAGGGAATTGAATGAACTAATATGATCTGTATGAATTAAAGTGAAATCTCAGATATCCTGATTTGCATAATTTATCTATGCAATATTTTTTACACTTAGAATAAACATGCCTAGCTCACAAAATTTTATTGAATTTTCTGATTGTTGAGGCCTAAATAATTCCTAACAAACATTTGAATGTAGTCAATGTGCAAACATGCTTAAATATTCCACTGGGGGTGCTTATTGCTTTTTGGCATATTTCAAGGTCACACATTATTTTATCATTTTCAGGTGTCACCATGTTGAAAATATTAAATTGCTAAGCTACTTCACAAGGAAGATAATCAAATAAGCATCAAGGTTAGTTCAAAGTTTTATTGTAGGAGAACAATATGGAGTCCTACCAAAAGGGAGCACAAGACAAGACAGCATAAAAACATGATGTCACTACACAAAAAATAATGTGGTGTGCAAGACAATGCAAATCAACATCCAGTATTTTTTTCATTTTCCAAAACACTAGGTATAAAAAATAAATTGAAATGATCGATGGAAAGTGCCATTAAAATGTCGAGATGATAAAAAATGGCGAGATGATCAAGAAATGCGAGAAGCAATGCCTTGTCTAAAAGCCTGATTTAAATGAATATGATTTATCTATCAGCCTGATATTTAAAGATTATAGTTAAAATTATTACCACTTGTTCGCAAAAATTTGTAGGGTTAAAACAAATAAAGTCAGTTTTTAAGGCTTGTGCTTTGGCTTTTCCTAACTCAGATATATTTGCAAGGCTGGCTGAATCCAAAGCACCTTCTCTTGTGGTCTGGACTGAAAAAAAAAATAAAATAAATAAATTTATTTTATAAAAATATGTTAATAATAAATCATAACACGATTAAAAAATTAATTTAGACATAGGACATCAATAAAAAAAAAAAAATAGATTAATTACCTTCTTTAAACATTTGATCAACTTTAAGCACATTACTGGTAAGTAAATCTTGTTCATCAGAAGGATTAATGACTTCCTGTCTACGATCTGAAAATGCATATTATAAAAGTAGGTAATGGTCTGGAGAAAAAATACAGCAATTGATGTATCAACTCAAATATAAACAAATTCATATGGCATAATGCTGGCTACAATTTAATCATCAACCAATGTTCCCTTTAAGCCGTGCGGCTGCGCAGCTATCTCACAGACGCCGCGCAGCAGTTTTGAGTATCGCACAGTAAATTTCCATGTGAGTGTGTGTTTGTGTTTATGGGCTGTAAAATTTTGCACACAAAAGAATTTGATGCTGTGAAACTTTGCACACAACTGTATGATTTTGCACACGAACCAGAAAACCTTAGAGGGAACATTGATGCCAACCTGCAGAAGAAAAAGCTATGTAAAAAAAAGTCCCCCCCAAAAAACCGTACAACCATATGGAAAACAATTCAGAAATTCAATATTTGGAATGCATGCAAATTTTTGGATTTGCTTGAAAGCCCAACCAACAAGTGTTATTTAGATGTGATTGCAATGAAATTTGATAATAAAATCTCTGCCATTGTAATTCAATAGATTATCTACCCAATGGGTATAAGAAAAAATGGATTTAGAAAATTAAGGCCTTGACTCGAGCTGTATTTTGTTTAAAGTGAGGAAGTGTTGCTCAATGCGTCAGTCTCCCTCTATCATCCTTGCCTATTTGTTCCAAATCCAAGACTTAATCAAGATGACTGGAAATAGACCAGGATTCATAAGACGACCAACAGTTTTTTTTGCGTGTTTCGTTGTGCTCTTTATGCTTTCCCTGTGGCAGGAGTTGCCGGAATTTTCATTGTGTCAATTTCATACCGCCTATGAGAATCCATCTCCAGAGTTGAATTCAGAGTTTTTCTTTTTTTAGATGAGTTGCCACCCAAGGTTCACAAGTCCTATGTTTTTGCTTATCTAGCCTTTTGCTGGGGATTGAACACTCTGCCAAATAGCACCCATCAATACAGTGCTATGCACCCACCAATGATAGTCAGGAAGATGAATCTTTCTACAATAGACTACAGGCTTAACTAGAAACTTTTCTGATATAAATATCATAATGGGAGATCTAATTTCTAAGGTTGGAAAAGAAGATAGATGATGAATAAATTAAGGGACAACATGGCTTAGGAAAGAAAGATACAAACGCTGAAAGTCTGTCAGACTTCTGCGCATCAAATGAGCTCATGATTGGGGCAGTGTATCCCAGCATAAGAAAATCCATAAGGTAACTTGGGTGCCCCCTGATAACAGAAAAGAAAACCAAATCGACAGAATATGCATAAGCTAAAAATTCAGAAGGTCTCTACAAGACATACTAGCTAAAAGAGGAGCTGATGTTGCATCTGATCACCATCTACTTTGGGCAAGACTCAAGCTAACACTGAAGAAAAATTGGAATGGGCCAGTTGCGAGATGACTAAAATACAAATCATTTCTGGCAAAGAAGCAAAAATGACAAGAATTCAGTGTTGCCTTAAAAAATAAGTTCCGCATACTGCAAGACCAAGCAGATGATAAACAGATAGAGCTTCATTGGCAAAACATAATTTAACATTCATGTTCAATGAGGTATTAGGTGAAGCACAAACACAAAAATTGGCTCTCACTTAACACGTTGCAAAAACTAAATAAGAGGAAAGAAATGAAGTCTGTTGTTAACAGCCGCACTAAGACAGAGAAAAGAAAAGCACAGGAGAAATATAAAGAAGCAAATGGAAGAGTCAAGAAAGGTATTAAAAGGGTAAAATAGCTTACATAGATGATCTATCATCAACAGCTGAAGAAGAAGCAAGAAAGGGAAATATGAATGAGCTCTATGATATAACAAGAAAGCTCTTCTTAGGAAAATACAAGAAGCCAGAGAAACCAGTTAAAGACAAGGAAGGTAACAAAAAATTTTAAAAATGGAAAGGAAATTCGACCAAGGTAGTATGAGATCATTTATGGATGGCCATCCATAAATAATAACAATTATTTAATGTCAATTTATATCAATTTTTCATTCCTTCTCCTAATTGCCACAAAAATGTAACACAAATTGGACACCTTTATCATACACCATCACAAATTTGTGACCCTCCCCATACACGTAAGGTTGTGTATTCAACCCTAATTCCTTTATTTTACTTCAATAAATAAAATATTATCAGCCTCAGCCTAAGAATAATTTAATCATCATCAGTCTATATTAGTAGAGCATATTAGGGTAAGTTGTAATTGTAACTATCTATAGTGTGTAGGCTATAAGTATAAGACGTTACTGTACTATGACTATTTGCTGGTATAGGACTTATAAATCAATATCATATTATACTAGACACTTAGATAGAACAATGGAGACCACTATTAAATTTGTATAGGAAATATGAGTGGGCACACAAAGATCTGATTTTTTAATTTTCGACGTATTGTGATAATTTATTCATAAAAGGAATATATTGTCTAATTTTTTTAAAATATAAAATTCCCAAAAATTGTAAGTTTCAACATTTGTTAGGAGCAAACTAGAAAGAAAAAAAAATTAAACTAATCAACTTTCTAGCTTTAGTACTTTTTGAGCTAAGAGTTTAAAAGTGCAAGATCATTTGTATTTTTTTTCCCATGGATGCACCGCAACAATTTGTGACCCGATTCTGTTGATCATGTCACATGCTTTAACATTTATTTTAAAGATAATTATACAACTTTTATTTTGAGGATTAAAGCTATTTTAAAAAGTAATAATATTATGCAATTATTATAAAATTGTACCCTATCTAGTTATTTACTCTACATTTATAGTAAAATAAATATATAGGCCTACGATATGGCGTCTAAGGCGTCCATTAAATATAAATGTCTTTATTAAAGCAATGCGTCCATCTTAAAAAAATATACTTGTTAGTAGAGACTAGTTATTTTGAACTTTCAACTTTTGCACATGGCTAATTAATTCTATCTCTTAGTCTTATGAATGAAACTCTAATAAATAGAGTATAGTCATAAGCAAGTAACTGAATGGTCGCCCATGACACTGGCACTGAAAACTATAAATTATTATAACTTATAATATGGACTAACAAGGTTTTAAACCTCAAATTTTGGTTTTTTTTTAATGCCTTCTAATTCTAAGTTCATTCTAAAAAAAAAGTTATCAAATATTTTGATATAAACTAGCTTATAATTGAATATTTCCTAGACCTAAGTATCAGCATAACAATTTTTTTAGAAATACCTTCAATCCTAAAATCTACCACGACTCTAGCTAACTCAATTGCTAAGTCACTAAGTCAGTATCCCTAACTCAAGTGTAAATTCCATTGTAAATTTGGCCCCCCTCCCCTAACTTGAGCATAAATAATATGAATGTAGCAGCTTCATTGTATGCCTCTAGATATGCAGCAAAAACTGTTAACAAACTTTGGTCACCCCCTTTCCTGGCGTTATTTCCGCAGGTACATTAATTTCGTGGCAAATGTAGTAAGAACTTTATTGAATCCCAAGAAATGTCAACCGCCTGCAGACACTGCAGTTGCTCTCTTTCCTTAACGAAAACATGTGGGCTACAGTTACACACTATGGAGACTATGGACAAAAATGAAAAAAAAAAATACAAAACATTTTTTTAAATAATTAAAACCCAACTTAGTTTTATCAAATAAACTTTTACACACTTTAACGACTATATTGCAGGTTCCACCAAAAATAAAATCCAAAAGTTGTCATAAAAATTGATGACGATACAATGCTTATTCAAAAGTTATTCTAAGACTGAGACACCAGAAAAATTTTGCCTTGTACTTGTATTTTAAATATAATTAAAAATTAACCACCTAATGAAATGTTAATTTAAAACATTCCAATCAAATATTAATGTTTAAAAAAAAAGAAAAGTTAACTCTATTAATATTAATATCAATAGTATAAGTATAGTAATTATTAAATTAACATTAACAGTAAACTAATATTAATAATATTAATATAGTAATAGTAATGAAATGTAAATTGAAAAAAACTTAAGTCAAAAGGGAGAGGTGGGGTTACCAGGGAGAGGATCCTACACAGAAACTAAGCCTCAATTTCTACTTTTAAATAAATACTGATTCTGAATTCAGTATAGTATATAATATATATTATTAATTATATATCGACGTACATTACTCATTCTTCCTCATTAGGACTAGATTAGTTGAAGTCTTAGTTTTAGGTATAGTATAGTATTATATATGAATATGTATCACTATTACTATTAATATTAAAGACTATTACTATTAATTATAGTCTTATTAATCATATTAATTTCATTACTGCTCCAAACTTGTGGAAGTTTGATTGTTATATGATATTTACCATAAAGATCATCTTGAAGTTTTCTGTAATTTTCACGGATCCTTCGTCGGTCATCTTCGTTTTGAGGGTTTTGAATTGATCCAAATACTTCATTTGCCTCTTCTTGTGAGGCAAAGAAACCCTTCGGGATTTCCAAATTCCCACCAGCAGCCATAATACTCATAAACAAAACACGTTTCGCATTTAAATGAAAATATTAAATAATAAATTCATACAATTTCCCGCATTTCTGAATAATAATTATTATTAGTTGCAATATATCCACCTGTTTATAGGTATACTTTAAATAATTCCTAATAATGTGTTTTAAAAAAATATTAAATTGTGCGGACTGTGGAATGTCAGAAAGGGGGTGGGGTTAGAGTAGGGTGACCAAACGTCCCGTAAAAATAGGATTGTCCCGTTTTTTCATAATCGTACCGGGTGACGCGAAAAAGTCTGTAGGGACGCCTAAATGTACCGTTTCTAAAGCCAAACACATTTTCGCATATTATATAAGAAGGGGGTTTTAACAATCACTGGGACAAAAGCCAACTATCCTCAATTTAAATCCTAGACTAGAGAAATTTAATGTGTTGTATTATGTTGTAAAATATATATAAATAAATAAATATTCACTGCAAAATTACTGTTTTAGTTTATGATATGCCTCAGAGTTTAAATTAAATTACGAAAGTGAAGGTACATTTTAAAAGATTTCTAAGTCTCAAAGTAGTTGAAATGAGCATATTTCAATAAACAGTTGAGTTTCCGGGGAGGCCCCCGGACCCCTCTTTAGTTGGTGGGTATCCCCTTGGATGTGTTCCTTTTTTTTCCGGTTCATTATTTGGTCACCCTAGGTTAGATATGTCGACGACCGAGCCGTGATTGCGACGAGTGGCCAGTGAGGATGGATGGGGTATAAAGAAAACTTTGAGCGATGAAAATTGAAATGGTTACATTTAGTAAGATTTTTGACCTATTATTAGTAGCAACATGAAACATGTTGTTAATTCTGTGCACACCTATTAACAAATTGTAAAGTATACCTTACTTTTCCTTTCAAAATAAAACTGCACTTTTTTTTTGCTTTAGAATGTAGAATTTATAATATAATCCCAGTCCCAACCATCACTGTCGGCTTTTGAATTTTAACCAGTGGAAATGTATCAGTCCCAACCATCACTGTCGGCTTTTGAATTTTAACCAGTGGAAATATATCTCTTCTAGGTTAGCAATGAATCAGTTTTTCACTACCCTGAAAATACACTTTAATTTCAGATTATTATAAGGTGACAATTATGCACCATATCATTTATCATCAAAGATATATTTCCAATTTTATGGGTATGGAAATGTTTAAATATTGTCTTTTTTTAATGAGACTAGATTTCTGTCTATGTGTATGTTTGTGATGCCCTTCTCTCCTGATGCCTTAGGAAGTGCTTATTTTGCTTAACTTAATGGTTAATCCACATAAATTACATTGAAGTTTGAACATGATCATAATAATAAATATTGCATCATCATCTTTGCCCCTTACAAGTACAACAGAATCTCCGCTCTTTCTCTCCCTTTTCCTGTTTTTTTCGCTCCACCCGTTGCCTTGTTACACCTGGCATATAAATAGCGGATGTCATGACTGAAAGTTGACACTGGGTCACAGAGGGTCTTCTGTAGAGTCACCGGTCATATAAACTTTTAAAAACACTTCTAGAGAAGTCCATAGGACACATCCTGAAAGCCTACAACTATCACCTCTCTCTCTAGAAGTTCTGCAGTGTGTAAATTGAATTTTTTTAATGAGTTATTTTAAAATAAGTTTCCAGAAAAGTTTTAATAAAATAATATATGTGTAAAAAAAATGCTTTAACTTTAACAGTCTTTACAAAAGAAGAACATATTTATTTCACAGACAAAAAGTCATGCTGGTACCTTAAATGCAATACAGTTGTAAAATTAAAAACTTACAGAATTGACTCTTGAAAACTGACCTACAGGAATAGCTTACATGCCATTAAGATTCAAGGCATTTTAAACATTCATATCAGGTACAAGATTTTAAAAAAATCTAATTAAGTATTTTCAAAATTCAGTTCCTTTTGGTTTCGACAAAAAAAACTGAGAAACAAATTTAAAGTAAAGCTGAACAAAAATGAATAATGATAATGAATTGGCATGCCTTTTATTTGGAAATATTTATTTTGACAGTCATAAGAACACTGCACTGGAATCTATTTTAACATAGGAGTATTTAAAAAGGTAATTCTTATGTCATTCATAATGCGAATAGTCAGACAATAATTGCAGTAATTACCTGTCAAATTCATAAGGCTAAAGTCATGGTCATAACAAAAACTAATTTGTGCTCAAATGTGCATTTTTTAAAGGTCACAGGAGAACGTAATCAATTATCCATATTATAATCAACATTTTATTTATTCTAAGGGCTACCTCATCACTCAAAATGTTTTAAATGTTTTTCAATTCATAACATAAAGCGTTTTATTACCGTATACATTTTGTAGCCACTTCAGCAGTTATGGAGTAATATTCAAACTGCTAAACTTATAAAACTTTTAATAAAAGTTATGTGATAAAAATCCTAAGGTACTGAAAATTTAAAAAAAAACACTTCAGTAGATCACATTAGAGGAGACAGTATTGAAATATAAATAACATGTCAACTTTAACCCAAGTAAATAATCTAAAACAAAAAAGCATTTTTTTTCCCTCATGATTTTTGATTCTAAAATCTACTATGTGGCTTGTTCAAAGTACTTTACTGGGAGACAAACACAAAATAAATCTATAAACAATTAAAACCGTACAAAATTAAAGCTTGGTGTTAGTATAGTGATTAAAAAGTATTCTGAAATAAGACAAAAGAAAAAAAAAAGAAAAACAGGTGGGATATACCATTGATATTTTTTGTATTAAAAAGTCTAAAATGCAATTAGGGAAGTAACCATAAATAAAAAAGAAGTCCTCCAATGGTAAAACATGGGTGAAAAATAAGATCATATAGATGTTTCATATCACTGCCTTTCATTTCAAGCTAGGAACTAAATGTTTCAAATTAATTTGCTTTTACTTCAAGATCTGATGTCTCATATTCAAGATAGAAATTTCTTTTTGTTAATGAATTCACTACATAATTATTTATATAGCCATAACCTTTTAAAAATTCCCTCACCAAAATCAAACACCATCACCACTTCTTGAAACTGAATAACCATAACAGCTTTAAATTACATGAACTCTGAAAATTTTAAATGATCAATTACTCCTTCAAACACCACAAATTGTAAACAACTTTTTAAGTAAAGAAAAATTTAAGCGATTATATTAACTTTTGTAGCTTGTGAGTATGGTTTGTTAATAAAAAGCCAACATTTTATAATGTATTTATAATTTTTGGTAGCGCATTGCAGATACAATGTGACCAAATATTATTAGCCCAATGATACGTGACACAGGAAATGTCTCAGCAATTTGATCCAAAAACCATTAAGTACAACTGTCAAAAAATGTATCAGAATATAGCCACTGGAGAAAAGAAGCTGACTTCCTAATCTGCCTTGGTTGATTCTTGCTGTTCAAATACAGGATAGTTGTTTAGGACATCTTCCCATGTTCGTCTTCCATCTGCCAAGTCTTTGACAATTTGAGGCAAGTCAGAAACCTAAATCAAAGGATAATTTTTTTATAATTATTGAAATATATGAATAACGATAAAATAATGCATCAATTATTATAAAACTAAAAAGAAAACAGCTCTAGAAGTTAGAATTGGCTATCTTACAGGTGCCCTGATCTGTTTCATGCTCTCTCTCTCTCTAAGAGTTGCTGAGTGAGGTTCTTTCAAGCTGTCAAAGTCAACTGTTATTCCATATGGTATAGCTATCTGATCAGTCCTGGCGTAACGACGTCCTATGGAACCACTGCTGTTATCAACTTTATGAGATATATCCAAATTGGTCAATGCAGAGGCTGTGGGAAAAAAAAACAACCTCGTATACTTTTTTTAATGTTCTTTTTCAAAATCAAATCCTTCACATAAAATATATATTAAAATGCTAACAAAATAATAAATGAAACACACAAAATTAATTTTTAATAAATATTAAAAGATGTAACAGTGACCAAGGAAGTCATCAATATTTAATGAATAAATCTAGTATATGTTAAATTTTTGTATACTGATTTCATGACATAAATTGTAAAACTTACACAGTGTCTGAACGAAGGGGTTAAAATCAGGATTTTGACTGAGAGGCAGCACAGAACATTTGTAGGGTGCAATCAATGGAGGCAATGATAGGTACTTGTAGAAGGAAAAACATACAAATAATTTGAATCTAAGTTGGAACAAAATAGCTTGCATGACATAAACAAAAAATTAACTTTTTGTAAAAAATTAAGAACTGCCCTTAAGGAAGTTTATATTAATTTATTGTATAATATATATGAGCATCACTATATGAACTGATGACTTACTGTTCTTTGCTCATCGCCCTCTCTAATTCTGAAATTGTGTTCAAAGATTGAATACATAATTCTCCCAATCCCAAAAGATGGTTCAATGACTGATGGGACGATTTCTTCAACTGAAAAACATAAAATAACACAATGAGTTCAAGTGTCTAGAAACTGAACTTGTCTTCTGATATGTACAATTTTTTTTATTGTACCTTTTTTTTTTTGCTCCGAGATTATCCTGCACATCCGACTATTTTTGCATTTGTTAGCTTTCATATAGAACTTGTTTATTCCCCAGATATGGACATTCAGTGTCGCCGGGATTTTAAACCCAAGACATTGGGATACCTTACTGATTGCTTCCCAACAATGATTGTAAAAAGTACAGCTGCCAAGGCTTCAAAACTATTTCAATGTTGTCTTCAACATGGTAAAGTACAAACATAAATCATACAGTTAAACTGTGCAAGCCAGTTTCATTGCAACCTACCAATTATGCATGGATAACAAGGAAAATTACAAAATTTTCATGCCAGACATTCACCGCCTAGATCATTCCATCAAACATGATAAAAATATAATGGGATCAGGTACTGTGATCACTAATATATGGTCATTGGTCAAAGTCCTAAGCATAAGCAGCACACAGCCTGGAGATGACTTTACAGGGGTCATTAAACCCCCTACCCCTCAAACCCACTTTAAAAAAAGAATACAGCAGCACATAGCTGTAATCACTATACAGCCCTAAAGGAAAGCGGAAGCAGTCAATAATTGGAAGCAGTCAATGATTCAAGCAGAGTTAGCTGCTGTCGAGAATAGAGGTGATGACACAAGATGAAAATTTTACCGCTGTGTTTTAACCTGTTTTTGCTCCAAGCCCAACTGATAACATAATTTTCATTAAGAAATGATTTTAAATCAAAGTCATAACAGACCTAATTAAGAGGAGTGCTCACCATGTAATGTTTTTTGGTATCTCTTCACTTGGACCATATCTTTAGTGAGGGAGAAAGATTTGCCTCCAATATTTATTTCAGCAGATCTGTAAAATGATTGATAACATAAAAAAAATATTAAACAGCAAACCATTACTAGGGAATTAATTGCATTTAAAACAATTTATGCAGCAGAACATCAGTGTACAACAGACTTTAATAAAACAGATTTCTTAAAATACCCCCTTCAATGATAGTGTGCATAATTTCTATCATTTGGGAGTATGCACTTAATCCACAACTCAAATCCATTAGCAGCAGCTCTTTAGTGATCCTTGACCTGTGCCTAACATAATGAGCAGAGCCATTAGAAAAGGCCTTTACAGTGAATATGGCCTATGCTTCCTAATTAAAACATCCCTATAGTCAATGTTCCCTCTAAGGTTTGTTGGTTCGTGAGCAAAATCATAAACTTTTATGCAAATTTTTACAGCATCAATTTTTTTGTGCGCAAAATTTTACAGCCTACAGACACAAACACACACTTAAGTGGAGATTAGCTGCGGGGTACTCAAAACTGCTGCACGGTGTCTGTGAGATTACTGCGCGGCCACGCAGCTGCAGCCGCGCAGCTTAAAGGGAACATTGCCTATAGTCACATTGTCCTGACACCCAGGGATCATCCTTTTGTACTAGATTTTTTATTTACAGCAAAAAATGGACCATTGATAAAATTGACTCAGTTTTAAATTATTAAACCCTAAGTTATTTTTTAATTGAAATTTTTCATTTTAAAATTTGAACATTGACCTATCTTTCCTTTTTTTAAATGCAACAATAAAATCTCTCTAGTCATTTGTTCCTTTTCGACAATTTAAACAAAAAAATTATGTAGCTTTATAGTGCAATGAAAGTAATTAGTGGCAGACTTCTTCGACTTTTCCCTCGGGAAGGTCACATTGCCATGCTCGAGGCAATGTCGCACGTGATCTGCCTCTTCGCGGCGCGGAAGACTAGTATGGGCGTGCTCCCAGAAGCCAAACATCACACGTCCCAAATCGGAAGACCCACTGAGCTAGGGGGTGGTAACGCAAAGCCCCCCTTCACTGGGAGGAAGATATTTTGCTCAAACCCAATAACTCTCTTGCAAAACGCATGACTTCTAACGCAACGGAAGTTAAGCGCTAACATGATTACGTGTTGCCGGTGACGGGTATGAGGCAGTAGGGTGACCGCCTAAACCCTTGCCAGTGATTAAAAAGACGTGGCCCTGAGAAAGCCACCCTTAGGCGACCGTTTCGTCCCGACATGTCCAGTCCGAACAGCTCCCAGAACGGTGGGCCGAGGTAACGCAACATCTCCCCCGGAGAGGAAGTTAAAGCCGTTTCACAGTCCGGAAAGCTCCCGGAGCTGCGAGCAAGGGGCAACGCAACGCTTCCCCGGAGGGAAACAAATCGTTGGGAACAAAACTTGCCCGGACGACTCTTAGGGCGGTGGGAGGAAAAGTTAAGGCCAGAAACTACTCCCGGAGTGGAAAGAAGCCGTCCCACACCAAGGAAAACGTACAGATCCCAGGCGGTGGTGGTGGCAACGCAACGTCATCACCGGAGAGGAAGTAAAGCTGTTCCAAACCCAATTTTACTTGGGCCGAGTTGCATGGCCGGAGTCCCCAGGGACTACTGGGCCATGTTTCACAGCCAGGGTCCTAAGAGATTGAATCTCGACCCTTTTGAGTATTAATCTTTAGAAGTGGCAGACTTGTGGTACAACCACTTATATAATTTGTATATTATATTAAAACACCCCCCTTTATTGCTCATCTATAACACAAGAATTAAGAGACATGGTAGTAAAATGAATCATCTGCGAGAAGGCCTTTGATAGCATGGACCGACAAACCTTGTGGAAAATCTTTGGCATTATGGGGTACCAGGAAAACTGGTCAGGATCATTCAGAGTTCTTATGAAGAAATGACACGCAGGATGGTACATGAAGGTAAACTCAAAGATGAGTTTAAAGTGGAAACCCATGAGTTGGACAAGGATGTCTCTTAGCCCCCTTCTGATTCATCCTTGCCAATGACTGGATAATGAAAGAATCCACAGGCTAAGATGAACAGAATACAGTGGACACCCTGGGAACAACTAAATGACTTAGATTTCGTCCCACAACCAGCAACAAATACAGGAAAAGACAAAAGATGTAGCCACCATTTCAGCACAGCTCGGACTCAATATAAATAAAAGCAAGACAAAGATCATGAAGGTAAACTCAGCAAACCAAGGGCATATCTCCTTGGCTGGAAATGCACTTGAAAAAGTGGAGCCCTTTGCATACTTGGGCAGCACCATTGGCATAAATGATGATGTAAGGGATACAACTGGTAAGGCTAGGTCCCCATTTGGGCTATTGAAGAAAATATTGGAGTTAAAAAAAAGGAGCTGACTCTGCAAACCAAAGTGAGAATTTTCAACACGAATGTTTTAAACAGTCCTACTATATGGAGCCAAAACTTAGAGAACAACATCGAGCAACAACAAAGACTTACTGGAAAGGACATACCAAGAGCTTGTTGCTGAAGAAATAAGGAAAAGATGGAGGTGGATAGCGCACACTCTTTGTAAACCCCCAGATAGCATCACCTGCCAAGCGCTAACATGGAATCCACAGGGAAAAAGGAAGAGAGGAAGGCCAAAGCTAGAGGCAGACACACAAATTATTGCATAGACCTGGAAGAAACTGAAAAGGAAATCACAGAACCATGATGAATGGAAAATTCTTGTAGATAGCCTATGTCCCAGGCAGGGAAAAAGACATAATTAAGTAAGTACCGGGTATATAGTAGTAAAATGCAACCCTCACCCTTTCTCATTCATAGTTTGTTCTAGGCTATTGATCTCATCTGTTGCCACATTTGTCAGATAGTCAGTTATAAGCTTGGCCTCCTGTTTGAACACTTTGCCAAGAGCACTTTTCTGTGGTACACATTCTGTCACATCTATTGTTTTGTGATAAGTGTTAAGGTGATCACTCATTAATATTGCTATTAACTTATCTTAAGAAAATGTTGACACATTGACAGATAAAATTCAAGGCTGTCATAATGATATATTTCCAACATGTGAATATTTAATATTTATTTATGTCTATTCTTGAAATCTAGTTGCAGTGAACAACTTAATATTTTTTTGTAGATTTTAACAGCATATTTAGTCAAATAGAGCACATTAATGCTTGAGATTATATAAAAGGATATAGGAGCTGGCAACTGTTTCTCCGCCACAAGTTTAACATTTGTTGCTTTTGTGTGCTGTGTTAGATCATAACAGGATCTGTCTGCACATCCAACGCATTCAACCCACCCCTGAAAAATAAAGTTTTGAGTTCATCGCTTCACTCCATAATGTGCATGTAGTGCCATTAGTTTAAGTGAAAGGTAATGTGTCACTTACATAGGAGGTTTTACATTCTGCATCCCAGCAATCACAAGCATAGTGTGCCATTTCATTGGACAAATGTTGACGGAATCTTAGGCGTGCTGGATCTACACCCATCTTCACCATGAAAAGATGAATTCTGGCCATGAAATAACCTAATGTCTCATTGGCAACCAGTTTCTAAATGGGAAAAATTTGATAGCTTTACTGATTATCTGTTTAAAAATATGACATTGGTTAGAAATCTCACTTCAAATGCTTTTCACATGTCTAATTACAATGTGCTTCTTAATATTTAGTTAATTTTAAAAATTAAATTGATGTAAAAAAATTATTATTTTAGTTTGTTAATACAAAATCTGTCTATAATCAGTAAAATACCTACAGATCTAACTGCTTCACCAATAGTTTTCTTTTCAGGAGGTTTGCCATCCATCTGGTTGCAACCTGAGTATAAAGTCATTTCAAGATTTTCTACATTTGAAAATTTAGGGTGGCTCTTGTCTGATGGATCACAAAAATGTTCAATTTCTGCCATAGTAAACTCTCTGAGGAATGAAATATAACAATTTAGTAAATTTTCTAGAAATGATTATTTCTGTTTCTCAAAAAAATATAATGTGCTGTTTATTATCAAATTAACTAAAAAGATATATTTACAGATTATTCATTTTTCTAAGATAACTTAAGGAGTCAAAATGTACAGTATCACTTTTGTTGTATGGCAATTTAATACTTTAAACATTGGACATTGTAACGTACCATATATATATGTGTTGATTTTGATTACGTTACTTTTAATAATTTACATGTATTACTTGTCCTGAATCACAGTCGTCCATCAATAGTTAATAATAAAACACAAATAACTATTTGCATCACTCTATATTTAATACTTGAATACGTCACATCACATGAAATAATGTTACTAAAGATCACAATAAATATAGGTATCACATTTATAACTTCTTTGGTCTACTTCACAAATCAATATTAAGATATTGATCTATAACTAGAATAAACATGGCCAGCACCAAATATATATGAATCCTTGCCAACCGCCTTGACCGTTAACTCTGACTATTCCATCCCATAATTCCTTAACTTCCTGTTATTTCTATTTAACAAATAATACATTATTTTTACGAAACAAAATTGATATCTAAATATTAGATATGTGACAGACATTATCTTCAAAGCTGGCCTTTTTTCAACTAATGTTTTACTTTTAAGATTGACACAGTCTTTGTTTACTATTGGAATAATAATACTCAAAGTTTGTACATCTTACCTCACACGAATGAGACCTGATCTTGGGGAAATTTCATTTCTAAATGAATTTCCTATTTGAGCTGCAGCAAAAGGAAGTTTCCCCTGATTAAACTCAAGCAAACGCTTGAAATTTACAAAAATACCTTGTGCTGTTTCAGGGCGTAAATACCTGAAAAAAATTTAACTTATTAAATAAAAGAGAAGCTTAATTAAATTTCTAAAACAAAATTGTAACAATTCTGGTTACTAACTGAAAAAGTGCTGTTAAGATCAATATTTCATCTACTGTACGCTGCTATAATGCATGAGGGTAAATTTTTCTATTCTATTTGTTTTACTTGGCCCTTATCTTTCCATCAAAGATATATTCACTTTAATATAATGTTACAATCAGTCATCATGAGATATAAACAAAATTTTGTTACTACTTCATCTTCAATTAAATAGTTTCTTTCTTAAGTGCTTAAGTTTGTCCCCTAATTACAAGAGAGATGCCATCTAAGGATGCAAAAACAGTGTTATTACTGACCCTTTGATTTGACCAGTAGGGCCAATGGAGGTTGCAAACATAAGATTAAACTCAATAGGATCTGTGAGATCATTGCCAGTTATTGGGGACTTCATTTTGTATTCTCTAAGTGTCCTACCCATATCATCCTTACTCATGCCATCAATCTGTAGAGAAAACAGGTGATTACAAATATAATAAATTACTAGTTTTCATAGTCATCTATGTATTACATGTCTGTTGAGAGGTAAAGGGTAGTACTGATTAGGATTTCATGCAAACATGTGTACATAATAAAGAATAATTAGTCATAGAATCTTTACACAGTGCTATAAAGTGTGGCAAGGTGCCACTTAACAGTAATAAGGTAACACACTCTCAGTGTGTAAGGTAACACACTATGAGTGTCACTTTGACAGCTGTTGGCAAACCCCTGACTATACTATAATAAATACAAATCCACCGAAATTAAAAGTAGCACAATGCTATGAGCTGAGCCCTAACCTTGTTTGGTCATTCATGCATGGAGAGTGACCGTTCCATGACATGACGCTGACATCATTGTTCCCATGTCCTATATCAGGCAGGTATGATGCTCATTTTGAATTGATAGAGATGACTTGTAGCAAGCAACATTAGTTATGTCATTTTACCGGCCTATCTGGCCGCTGTGTTATATCGTTATTGTGTGAGTATATTTTATTATGTTTTTTTGATGGGCAATTAATGTTCATAACTGATCATGTTAAGGATTGTTTGAGTTTAATTACTTGTTAGGCTCATGGAAAGTAACTTTTAACAGTGATATCAACATAGTTAGACATATGGCCGCACGCCATGTCTTTTATAGTACGGCTTGTATGTGGGTTTACAAATAACAACTATAATTTATATTGTTCTAGTTACATGCTGTAATGTGCTAAGTTTAAAACTTAGCGTGTACACCAGTATCCAAATAATAATTATACTTTGTAGAGCTCAAGTTGAATATAATGTTATGTGTTAAGTCCTACATAATATAGACTTGGTGTCTGCGATTGTAGAATCCTAACGGTCATATCATTATAGTTAAATGTACTACTATATGGTTAAGTTTATATAGATGATAAATGTCATAGCTAATTATGTAGAATATGTAGAATCATAGGTTTACTCTCTCATGTAGTACCTCAGGGTCTCCATGATTAAAAAAGGTTTGGGATAATTGCTAACATAAATATATTGAGATTGTACCCGAGGCGCCTTGCATCTCAAATAGATTCAGAGCGCAAACCCGTGTACTTCTCATTTAAACTAAACCTCACAGCATAACTGCTGTAAAATTAAATATTATTAACGGATCATTTCATTTACCCACTGGATACTCATTTTGTGTCTTCTATTATAATTAATCATTATGAAAAATGTTTATTGTTACGTATTTTCGTCATACTTTGAATAACCTGTTACATCCAGAGTTATCTCATGTGATTAAATGATTATCATACTGTCGATAACCTGTAAAAACATTTGTTATACAAGAGTTATTCACTTTGTCTCTTGCTAGTTATTTATACTTAGATGTTTGTCAAACTGTAAATAACCTGTACTATAAGTATCTTTTCAGATATTGTCCTTTTTAAATTTCTCGTTACCATACTCTCAGAGAAGAAAAATACTTTAGTTGTCAAGACCTGATTTCCTTAAATTTAAAACTGTATTGCCACCAAACCACAAACACAGTTGGCTCACAGCTACAACAGATTTGGCAAATTTTCTGAGCTATGCTGACCAACCGACCTCGAAACCTGTTATTAACTTTTGTATTTAGTCATTTATTAAATCTTGCACAATATGGTCACTAGAGCATTTAAAAATGAAAGATATTATAAGAAGATTAAACCAAGAATGCAATTAATAGATAGAGATTAAATCTCTTATCTCTTATGCTTACCAAAGGAAGCAATCTTCGTATCTCCGCCTTTGTTTCATCAGGGATCTTTTTGTCTTCCAACATTTTTTCAAATGTTGCTGTTTTTTTTTTTTAAAAAAAGAATATTACTTAATCATAATAACATCAAAGTAATGAATATTTCATAAGAGAACTTGATAACAAGAAATTTAGCTTAATAATCAAGACAAAATACAGAGTATTAAAAGCTATTTGCATAAGTTCTTAGAATTTATTTCTTTTCATTGGCTAACACGTTGAAATTATAAGTAATTTAGGTTAAAATTATGAAGTGAAACTAGATGATTGCCTAAGAACAGTAACACTTTTTTGTGATTAAAGAAGTAAAGAAAAAACAATGGAAAATTTTTATCATTGCCTATTTAGGAGGTCAAGGGTATGAAAACAGCTCAATCTGAAAGGTGAATTAAGATGTGCGATAACAAATTTTAACCATTCACCCAAAAACAGTTTAAGCACCTGGAAATTTCCAGGTTGTTTTGAACTCTATTGCTATTTATCACATAATTTGAAATGTAAAATTTCAATATTTATTTTGTCCATCTTTAGAGACTACTCTTCCACAGAAATATTGGAAATACCACATAAATTCTAAAATCAATTTCTCATCAAAACCAGTCTGTGATACACAATGGGAGAGCCGAATTAAAACACTCGAGCCCAAAAATAGGCCAATAATTTATCCTGTATTTGAGTAAAACTACACGAAAGATCTTTTACATTGATTAAATGGACAAACCATGAAATTCAAGTCATCACATCCTTAAAAATATTGATAAAAAGCCTTGATATAAATTATTTCAAAAATTGTACAAATAAAATGTTTAAATGATGATGAAAAGGAATAAATGTTAACAACTGTTGGAGCACATTTAGGTGTAATGCTAAAATTTTAAACAAGAAATAGAGCCACAACAAGACCATCATGTAGAGGAAACATTTGTTAAACAAAATTTAAGGTATGCATTTATTTTTTCAAATGTATCTGTTGATTGAAAAACTGAAGAACATGTATACAATTATTTCAAAGAAATGTTTGATATCGAAACAGTACTTTAAGGATGTTAACAGATACCGGGTATGAAAGGAATAAATTAAAATAGTAAATAAAAATAAAAGCCAATTACAATAGTCTAAGGTATTCTTCCATAAATACTTTATTGGTAAAAATATATTCAAACATGGTGTTACAAATGAGCTATTAGATTTTTATGCAAAAATGAAAGTATTGGTACCGTATCAAGTTCATAAAGGATATTTTCTAAATTAATTGTATAAAAACGTATTTGCTTTAAGATGGCTCAGAAACTACTCACTGGTTACAATGTAACATTTATAGGACATGAATTAGCATCTATGATCGATACAGTTGAAATAATTTTAAACTTCCCCAAACCATAAACCTGAAAATTAATTTTTCAAAATGTTTGTATTTGAGTTGTAATATTGTCTTCCAGTAGAAATATTAGGAGTTATCTGGAGAGTTACAATACATTAATTATTTTAAACCGTTCACAATTATATATTTTTATTAAAACCCACAAGAGTAGGTGTATAGGTTAACTTGCATGAGTTAGATAATGTATAGGGGTGTCCAAGTTACGCTTGCACCAGGTTTTTTTCTGCCATGCACAGAATATTAATAATTTGTTACCTTCAATGAGGTGATCAGCTCTGAAACATTCTCCAGTTTTCAAATCTTTCACCATGTAATCTTGAAATCTATCTACATGGCCTGATGCTCTATTGAGTAAACAAAATTGAAAATAAATTTTTATCAAAGGGTTTCTTATTAGTACCTTTTTAATTTGAATAAGAAGTGGGGGGTGCATTAAGTCAATTTTTTGTAATGTCTCAAGACATTTTTTTTTATTAAAAAGAACTTTGTAAAAAGTTTAATCTTAAAAACTAAGAAGATTACAACTAACTTCAGAACTTGTTCAGGGGTAAGCATGGCTGTGTCTACCTCCAGCATCTGCTCTTCAAGAATAAAATGTTTCCTCCATGCCTGAAGAAGATTAGCTTTCATAGCACAACCCATAGGGCCAAAGTCATACAGACCATTTACACCTGTTAAAAAAAATAATTGACATACAATAACTTCTTCCACAAAATACAATTCTTTAGATATAAGACATATAGGAGCCAAAACAACAACAAAATATTATTGTTATTTGTACCATCTATGCTCAATTTTTTTTCATATACCCCATGATTTAGTAAGAATATTGGATTCTTAAGTTTTATGTCTTATTTGTTTCTCCAAATACTTTCAGAGGTGTAATCATTTTCCTATCAAAAAAATTACTTAAAAGTTAGCACATATAAAATATCATTGCAAATATGTCTTATTTACCAGTTGGTGGTCAAAGAAAACAATTTAGACAAATTGTATGTTACACTCTGAAGTGGTAACGATAGCTCATCTAAAAGATATATCTTTCGATAACTCAAAAAAAAAAACAGGATTTAATGAATGCACACAGTTGAATGCACTACAGGTTTATTTTTCTCTTTCAGGTACAAAAGTATTTTCAAAAATAAAATTTAAAAATTGAATCCTCAAATTTATGTAGATAAATACATATTGGTACATACCCCCATAAATGGCAAATGACTGGTCAAAGAAAAACTTTTGCTTTAAAAGATCCTCCATCTTTAATCGATCAAAAGCATCTTTTGGAGAAAGTTCAAGTTCCTGTAATTAAAATATATTATGTCTTTATAACCATAAAAACCATATAACCTTAAAATAATAAGCAAAAAACATAAAATTATTTTACATGTACAATTTAAAATGAAATATATAAAACAAAGAAAATCTGAAAAAGAAAGAATAGAACAAAACAAACATTTCTGCAAGAAGCCTTCTTCAGTGAACAGTGCAAACACAAAATAATAAAATATAAAAATAAACTGATGTATCCAAGAGGACAGCAAATTAACACCAAATTACCTTATCTTCCAAAGCCTTTTTTCTATGCTTGAGTTCAGCAACAGCTCTTTGTAAATCAATATCACCAGCTCCATCAGCTTTTAATTGTTTCACAATATCACCCTGTTAATAAATAATTATTTTTAAAATTATGTCTTAAAGTGTTTTTATTTCTGACAAATAAGGTTCAGTCATAATTAATCTAATTTAAAATCAAATACTTATGGAAGTGTGAAAGTAAATTGTGAATTTATATCAAAACAGAATTATCAGCTACTTTACATTAATTACAATTTTTTTTTGGTCAAAAACATTTATCAGTTCTTAATCTTGGCACTCCAATACCAGCGCCACAGTTAATTAATCTATTGCTGAATGTTGAAATTAAATTTTTCCTTATGAAAATTTTTTTCCCCCCCAAAAGCATTGCCAACCTTGGCGTCTTTAGTTCTGGTCTTCATAAAAAAATGTGGGCAGTGGGTTTCTTCTGCAAAACAATTCGCTCAGTGAACTCAAGCAGGATTGTAAACCATTGTCTAGCTTTTTTGTCAAAGGGGTCAAATTAACTTTTTACCCCCACTCCATATATATAAATCTTTACACATCTGTCACAAAATTGAGACACAACACCTAATAATACATTAAAATGAACCCAGACACGCAGCGCCACCATTCGCACCCGGGTACCATTAGACTCAAGCTATTCGGATGTCATTTGTGGTAGTTTATTTTAGTTAAACTGAAGAAGTAAGTTTACAAACATAAGATATACATAGTCCATTCAATTATCAGTAAATTATTAGAGAACATCCTGCGATGGCCGCCATCTTGGTTAACACTAATGAATCCATAAATCAATCCTTATGATAACCTGAACCCTAAATGATCCTTATGCCTAACCAACCTGAATCCTAAATCGATCCCTTATGCCTAACCTGAACCCTTTTTCATTGCAACAATAAAGTATAAAAAACACGCAAATGACATCACAGGGTGAAAACTAAGAATCAGCCCAATTGCCCAATTATCTTTCATTTGATACCTCATTGTCATTGTGTCTTACAAACCCAACAATAATATTTTAAATAGTTTTTTAATCCCAACCTCTCACTCCTGGTAGGGTACAAATAGTCGCAGCCTTAATTGTATTTTGTAACAGTAAATTAACTTGTACTTATCATGACTTGTACTTATGTAGTAAAATTACAGTAACAGTAACATGTAATTGTAGTTCACAAAAGTAGTTAGAGTTAGTAGTAACAGACTGCAAACTCTAATACTACAACTAACGTCAGCTATAAGCATTGAATTCTTGGGTTCTTCATTTTGTGACCCAAAAAAAGAAATAATATCATGAAGTCACAAATGTACCTGCTCTTTAACAGCTTTCCTCAGGGGTGCCAAAAACGCTTCTATTGCTGGATCAGTCATTGCTAGTTTTCTTGTAAGCTGAACTTGGCGTATTCTGTGTTTATTAGATCCCCAGTTGGTAGTTGAAGAGCTTCTCCAAATATAGTGTGAAACAGTTACGTTACTAATTGGGTTATCTGATTGTCGAATCAATCCGAATGATGGTTTTCCTAAACCAATACAGACTGTTCGTAGAACCAGATGGTAGAGTTTCATCAGCCTAGGAACATGAACTATTCTTTTTTAGGGAAAATTATAGTTGTTTTTGCTCATTTCTCATTACTACGTCAGACAAAAAATCGAAAGGATTTTTACATTTTAACTTTGAATTTCGTTTGGCGTTTTTAAGGGACAAATGTTCCTTTTTAGAATTAAAAACTAACTAGAAGACAAATTTTATCCAAACAAGCAGTTCCGATCTGAAAAATAGAAATTAAATAGTGCCAATGCGTAATTTAGTATTTTTACCCTGTCGTGTTAATAGAAATAGTAATCGAAAATTAATAAAAAAATGGCTGCGCCCTTGCGGCGTGAAAAGGGAAGTACAGCATGTAAATACAGTAATATTAAAATTGTGGATTTCTTCCTAATTTTTATTTATTTCATTTTTAAATATATAATATATATTTTTGAATGTGGTTAATTTGCATAAACGATTACGTAAATGACGTCATGGCATGTCTTCTTTGCATAAGCCGATATTTGGTTCGCCCATATCAACAGAACACAATATTAGATATCAAAATGAACTTCATTAGTCATGTTATTTGGCTATGAATGGAGTTTTACTGCACTAATTGATTGAAACGACATTTCCTTATTAAAAGTATATTTAAAGGTTACGTTTTTATAATTAATACTTTATACATTTAATAAAAGCATATTTTTTAATGAAAAAAAGACGTAAAAACTTATCAAATGTTAAAAATACAAAACTTTTTTTTTTAATTTGTTTTATTAACAATTTAAAAAGCAATCAACTATATTTATTAATTGTACTTTTAAGAAGAAGAGAATACATTAAATCAGTTTTGTCACGCGCGGTTATTAAATAAAAGAAACCTAGAACTTGCTAAAATAGGCAATTCGCGCTATGTCGTCAATTGCGTATTTATTTATAATATAAATTATGTCAAATTAATTTTAATTTTATTTCCCAACATTAAAAACGCACAAAAAACAGATGTTGAGTTTTCCCGAATAAATTTGATTACGATGCAATTCTTAGATAATATATGTTTTCATTAAAAAAAAAATCATAACTTGCTAATTCGAAGAAACCTAGAACTTGCTAAAATAGGCAATTCGCGCTATGTCGTCAATTGCGTATTTATTTAAAATATAAATTATGTCAAATTAATTTCAAGTTTATTTCCCAACATTAAAAACGCACAAAAAACAGATGTTGAGTTTTCCCGAATAAATTTGATTAAGATGCAATTCTTAGATAATATATGTTTTCATTTTTTAAAAATCATAACTTGCTAATTCGTATAAAATTATAATGCTTCAACTTGAAATAGTTCCTTTATTGTTATTTTAAATTTGTTTGTAATATATATAAGAATGAGCTATGTTCACATAACGCCAAAAGGGAGAACTTTTTAAAGTACGTTCGGATTCCTAAAAACAATCATAGTTATTTTCTATTATTTTACGGAAATCGAATAAATTTAAATGCGCAAAACATATTCTAAATACGCTTTCATTTCAGTAAAAGTTTAAGTATTATTATTATAAATTACAAATACATTTAAAGTATCAGCTTGGAACTATTTTAAACCTTTTATATGTGTTTGAAAGTTATGAAAAAATAAAATAATCATGATCAAAGAATTACACCGTAATCACATTTATCGGAAAAACCCAAGCATCATTCGTTTTTAGTGCGTCTTTTAGTGCGTTGTTAATATTGCGAATTAAAATTAAAAACTAATTTCTTCTAAATAATCATGGAAATGGCGTCATAGCGCTAAATAGCTTATTTCGCCAAAAACTCTCAGGTTTCTTTAAATTTAATAACCGCGCATGAATAACTGATTAATTATTTTCCCTTCTTAAAAGTAAAATTAATTGTTAATAAAACACACACACTTTTGCTTTGTATATTTTTACATTTAAAAAGTTTTGCCTGTTTTTGATTCCAAAAATATACTTTTATTAAATTTATAACGTAATAAAAACTAACCTTTAAATATAATTCTAATAAGAAAATGAGGTTTACGTCAATCCTGCAGCGCAACTCTATAGCTAAATAGCATTCACTAATCCAATTATACCTCATACAAATAAGAACGAACCAAATGAAATGCTAAAGATGTTAGTTTGGGTATGAAAGGGACTACAATCCGGTGGAAGATTTTCTAAATTTATTTAAATCTGGGTTTGGTGGGGGGGGGGGGGCTTGGTCACTTTGCCCCAGGCAGCACAAAATACGTCTCAAAATAAAGTAAGGAATGATTTTGATAAATAATTAACCTGCTTGGGTAAATACATGTCGGAGGAGGAAATAGGATGTGTACATTTTTACGTGGATGACAATATATTTAAATCCTACGGTATTACATTTGTGAGAAAAGAGATTTTGCATTCTCTTTTTACAAATATTGGTATGTTCATTTTGGGTACATACGTATCGGAGATAGGAAAAAGGATGTGTATTACATTTGTTAAAAAAGGAATGTTGCATTCTATTTTTGCAAATATGTGTATGTTCATTTGTCTCAAAGCAGCACAATATAAAAATCAAAATAAAGGTATGAATTTGATAAATAATTAATTTTCTTGAGTTAATTCATGTCGGAGGTAGGAAATAGTATGTGTACATTTTTACGTGGATGACAATATATTTAAATCCTGTGGTATCACATTTGTGAAAAAAGAGAAGCTACATTCTCTTTTTACAAATGTTGGTATATTCATTTTGCCCAAGGCAATACAAGATACATCCCAAAATAAAAGAATTAATTTAATTAATAATTAACCTTCTTGGGTACATACATATCGGAGATAGGAAAAAGGATGTGTACATTTTTACGTGGAATATAATATATTTAAATTCTATGGTATTTCATTTGTGAAAAAAGATATGTTAAATTCTCTTATGACAAATAAACATATGTTTACCAATTAAGAAAATCAATGGCGTTAACAAATCTTGGGTACATTTATATAAGTATAACCATGAATATCAAAACCCGATTATTTTACCCACTTGAAAATTAAATTTTGACACATGAATATGGGATAATATTTCGTTTTTATTAAAAATAAAAATATATTTTTGTTGTTACTTTGCAAAAAGTAAAGAGGTGTGTATTTTTATGAGATTAACAATTTAATTTTTTTTTAAAGACTGTCAAATCTGATATAGGCGTGAAAAACAGTTGTGAGATTCTTCTTAGATAAAGAATTATTTGTTTTACGATTTTCTGATAATGTATAATTTTTAAAAAAGGCAAAAATATGTGTAAATTTTTTATAAAGATGTCAATATATATTGAATTCCTGTAATACAAATTATATTTATATCATATATAAAGTTTTTCTTGTAAATTTAAGATTAGGCTTTAAAAAATTTTTGAGAGAAAAAGTTGTAATTTAAGGGCACGAAAAGGGGTAAATCTAAAGTATTTCTCTAGCGTAGTAATTGTCACTAAATTAATTTATTTAGTGACAAAAATGATATAATTAGTGATAATTTAGACTGGGTAATTTAATGTCATGTTTAGAGGGGGAAAAGTAGTTGATGAGCGCAGTGGCGTAGCGAGGGTGTTTGGCGCCCGGGGACAAGATTTGCGCCCGGGGACAAGATCCATTTTTAGCGCCCCTTTTTTTCTTTTTTTCAACTCTCAACCCCATTTTTTTCATCAATAAAATAATATCAAAGCACAGTTTGGCGCCCCTAACTAGCTGGCGCCCGGGGACATCTGTCCCCCCCCTGACCCCACCACGCTACGCCTCTGGATGAGCGTGAAAGGTTATAGGATACGCGTATTATGTATAGCAGATAAACACTTCTCAAAACTTAAAGTTAGAAACTTAAATATCATTACATTTTAAAAGTTATGAATTGGGATGAGTTTTTGCAATAGCAGTTAGAAATTATCGCAAAGGACCTACCATTATTTCCCGATAACATCGGGTCATTTATTCTAGTTTATAATAATAATTAAAACATTTACTAGAATAAAAGCGGAAATATTTTATGTTTTCTCGTATTAAAATTGATTCGATTTCCGTAAAATAATAGACAACCACTTTTATTGATTTAAAAAATCTGAATGTATTTAATTTAATTTGTTTCTTTGGTGTTACAAGTCAGCCTAGCTCATTCTTATATATATATATTATCTATATATATAAAAATGAATGTTTGTATGTCTGTATGTCTCATATGCGCTCCTACACCATTGATACGATTGCGACAAAACTTCGGTCAGTTGTTGTCCAAATAATTGGCCATTTAACTGAGTCATTAAAAACCTCATAAAGTGTTCCGTTCTTAGCCGTTGGCCCCTAATTCATTTTTTTCTTCTGTGAGCTTTATAAAAAATATTTTCCACATGCGCTCGTACGCCATTTATCCGATTCCAATAAAACTTTGGTGAAATGTTGCGAGCATGTCCATAAAGGTTTCTAAATTATTCAACCGTTTTATTAAAGTATTCAGTTTTGAGCCAGGGGCCTTATATTCGTTTTTCCTTATATTAGCTATATAAATATATTTTCAAACCGTATGCGCTCCTACACCAATCAAGCGATTGCTACAAAACTTAGTGAGTTGTTGTCCATGCGCCAGTGCATTTTACTGTATTATGTAAACACTTCTAAAAGTATTCTGTTTGCGGCCGTTGGCCTTTAATTCGTATTTTTTCTTATATGAGCTGTGTAAAAATAATGTCCATATGCGCTCCTACGCCATTTATCCGATTGCAATAAAACTTTGGTGAGATGTTGCAAGGGTAGCCGCAAAGGTTTTTAAATTATTATAAACTTTTCAAATATTACAATTTGAGCCAGCGGCCCTATTTACGTTTTTTTCTTATACGAGCTATATAAATATAATTTCAAACCATATGCGCTCTTGCACCATTCATGCGATTGCGACAAAACTTTGACGAGTTGTTATCTATGAACATAGCAATTTTACTCATTCATTACAACATTTTTAAAATATTCCTTTTTCGGCCGTTGACTCAAATTCATATTTTTTCTTATATGAGCTTTGTAAAAAATAATTTTCTATGGGCTCCTATACCATTTTTCAGAATGCGATAAAAATTTCGTGAGATTTTGTTCTATCGCCCACAAAGGTTCTTAAATTACTACAACCGTTTTAAAATATTCAGTGTTGAGCCAGGGGCGCTATGTTTGTTTCTTACAAAATGAGCGATATAAATATAATTTCAAACAGTATATGGAGAGCCAGAGCATTTTTCTAAGCCATTATAACCCTTCTAAAATATTCCGGTTTTTTGGCAATTGGCCCCAAATTCGTGTTTTTTTTCCTTACATTAGGAGCTTTATAAAAAAAAAATTCCG